CCCTCCCCACCTCTGGTGTGCAGCAAATATGCCCATACACATATTTGACTCCGCAGTCTTTATTTGGATGCACTTCTTCATTGTCTCTGTTAATCCTCATAGTAGCCTTGTGACATACATATTATCCTCAGAAATGTGACTGCCAACCACAGATGTGTATATAAGGTTACAGAGCAGTGGCACTGTCTGAACTGTAACCAGGAAGTCTACATCAAAAGCCAGGATCACACTTAGCAGTAATTTGGGCAACAACACTGATTAAATGCTAATGGGATGCCCGTGTCTGTCTCTGCCTTCTGTCAGTTTCTGTGCATTTGTTATGTATTGTAAATGCAGGCCGCTGCAAACCAGGTGAGCAGTACATTCCCACCAGCAGCCCTGGATTCCAGGAGACAATGGGTAAGGAATATACCTTTCACCTGCTACGGGGAGATAGCACTGAATCTGGAAGTGATCCGTCCACTGAGATTAACCTTGCAGAGGAAGGTAGAGATACACCCAGGGCCAGGTACACAGGGACTTAGCAACAGGCTTGTGTGGAGATCAGGGCGACAGCAGGGACTGATGGGGGAAGGATGGCACTCAGGACACAGTCTGCATAAGGGAGGCTGTGGCACATGATGCCATGTCAGTGCAAGGGAAGAGTTTCATGAAGGGACAGAAGAGGAGAGGCGGAAGGAAGTGGGTAAATATAGAAGGTCTCATGTTTGGGACACAGACATAACCTGATGCCTGCAGTGGCTTTGGCTGGGGGAAATATATTTGAATGTAAACTGCCAATAATTATACAATCATCCGCTCAAATTTGCTAAATGTTTACAACCTTCCAGAGACTTGTAAACATTTCACTGGGATATCAAGGTGCTTTTCTTGGATAGTTTATTTGTTTCTAAATACTGTGTTTTATTCAATGTATTAATGTATTAGTCTGGGTACTTTGGAGAAACAAATCCACGGCGACTCACGTATAAGAGAGAGTTTTATGTAAAGAAAAGGTGCATCACGAAAACATCCCAACTCAATGCTGCCCAAGCCCACAAGTCCAACATTAACCCATTAACCCAACACCAGTCCACAAAGTTCTCCACCTCACAAAACAGAGGCAATGATGCCGACTGCAGGAGGAAAGCTGAGTCCGTGAACGTGTAAGCATCTCAGCACTGGCAGGGGTCTCCACATGGCTGCTCCAGCACCCAGGGCTGCATCGGGATAGATCCATGCGGCTTCTCCTTGGGGATGTCTTGTAGGAAATCCATCTTGCAAGCTGAAGCAGGGAACTGCTAAGGCAGCTGCACCCGATGCAACCATCACAAAGCAAGAGACCCGAGAACTAGAAAGGCGAGGCTTCACCACCCATTTATCCCTCCGCCTTTCAACCAGCCCCTTATGTGATTATCGGCCAGGCTGGCACAATTAACTAATTCAGATATCAAGGTGCTTTTCTTGGATAGTTTATTTGTTTCTAAATACTGTGTTTTATTCAAAGTGTACACATTTTAAAACCATGATCCAGGGTAAGGTTCTGTGTAATACATGCACTTGGGTATGTGGTGGGGAGGGAGTAAGATGGGAAGTGCAAAGTCCAGAGGGAACCTGAGAAGTGCTTTCTAAGAAAGATGCTTTTACACCTTATTGAGGTTGGCTTTGTTTTTGATAACCTTCAAAAATTTTAAAGCTATAGACTAAACTAAACCTATTAAGAATGATTATATCTCTGAATTTTAGTTTGTCCTTTTGCGTCTTTTTTTAACAGTTTTATTTGCACTTCATCCATATGACATACATTTCAACAATTCCATTATATCACGAAGAGTTGTACAGTCATCACCACATTCAGTTCCAGAACATTTTCTTCTTCGTTTTACTCATTGTTCATGTAATTATTTTTTTTCCTAATTGTGGCAAAAATATGCACAAAAAGTTCTCTAATTCTGCAACTCCTACATGTATAATTCAGTGCCATTGATTATATACTTCATGTTGTACAACCATATTTGATATCTTTTTCTAAATTATTCCACCACCTTTAACATAAACTCAATGCCCCCTAAGCAACAACTCTTTCTCCTTCACCATGGTCACTATTGGTCAAGTTGGGTTTCGTTTCTTTTCTTTTTCACTAAAATACAATCACATATCATACACTTCTTTAGTCAAACTGCTTTAAATTATTTGTTTTAAAAATTATTTATTTAATAATCATTTATTGGGGGCTCATACAGCTCTTTTCAAAATACATCCATCCATCCATCCATCCATCCATTGTGTCACGCACATTTGTGCATTTGTTGCCGAGTTGAATATACATTATCATAGTCAATTCTCTGCCTTCCTGCATTCCTTGTTTGCTTCACAAATCCCCTCGCCCTCCCCACCCCACACCCCTGCGTCCCCCTCCACATCCCGAATAAACCATTGCATCAGTTCCTGTTTCTATGCATCCATGTCTTCTGTGGTTTACAAACTGGGAAACCCACAAAAACAGTAAGAAACAAACTAAAACAGAACAGCAAGAAGAAAATAATAATACAAAGATAAAAGTACAAATAAAGTATAATAAAGGAAAAACCACTATCTTTAAAAGGCCAGAGGAGAAATTTCTTTTCTGGAACGGGTGAGAAATACTTCAGCCTAGAGCAAATTGAGGTTGGGTCAAGATGGAGGTCAACTGACCAAGAATTATACCATGGTTCAATCCACCATAATCAAGTTTACGATAATCTGTCTCATAGTAAAGCTATTGGAGTCCCTTGCCTGTGGCTCGAGTGGATCTGCCAGAGGCTTAATCTGACTAGAGAGTCTGCAGATGGGTTTGGGGCTTCCACTGTCTTCCATAGCCTTCTACAAATTGATGTTCACAATTTCAGCTCTGATACTTTTCGTCATATTTGGATTTTGTAATTGTCATCATTGGATCACACAGGCTGGTGTGCTTCTTCTGTGTGGGCTTAGTATACCTCCCTTAGATGGCTGCTTGTTTGAATACAAACCTTTAAAACCCCAGACACTGTTCTTATTGATAGCCAGCTCCCATCTGGTTTCTTCGTCCCACTTTGCTGTAGCACCCTTATCTTCAGTGATCATTTCGTGAAGGCAGGTTATGTTATAAGAACTACCTGTTCTTGGATTGGGGCTAGAGTTAAGTGGGAGTACAGAATCCATCTGCTTGTCCATGGG